GTCTCGCTTCACCGGGCCCTTCGGGTTGTCGGCTCGCTGACACTCCAGGCACTTTCCATCACGGTTCGAGCGAATGAGCTCCCACTGTGCGTGGGCGAACTGGTCCCAGCTCTTGCGCTTCTTGCACGTCTGGCAGGGGGCTCTGGGCCAGCGTGCCTCGTGGAGGGCCTCCCAGTCAATGTGGTCGCCTCGCAGCTTGCGGAGGAGTAGCCCGGGGCCTTCCGTGGCACCGCGCTGGAAGAGCCAGAGCGGAAAGGGCCGCAGGATGAGCAAGTCGTGTCTGCTGCGGACCCGGCTCGCCACAACGGTGCCGTAGGCTGCGTGGGTCCTGGAATCCACGTTCAGGTCGAGGAGGACGGCGATCCTGGTCACTCTGGGCTGCACAGGTGCCGGCGTCAGATCTAGCAGCTGCAATGCTGTGTGCGGTCGAGCGGCAGCGTCTTGCCTTGGCTGGCGTGGGCCGTGATCGCGAAAGCCGGCACGAGCGGGATCTGCTCCCGGTCGACTCCCAGCTTCGGTGGCTTCCGGTTCTTGTCCAGTTTCCAGTTTCGAGTGGTCCGCGTGATCGGGTAGAGGCCAACCTCCTCCGTGCCCTCGAGCTTCCAGTCGGCGTCCTCGAACTTCACGTACCTTGGCACGGGCTCCGCTCTCGAGCGTTGTCTTATGCAATTCAAAGTCGTGGTTGCTGCTTCTCTCTAGGCTTCGGTCGGGGTGCACCACGCTCGGCTGCTGCTCGTTCTCAAGCCATTCCCACGAATGCACGTGGCCGATGCGGCCCTTCAAGAGCGACTTCTTGGAGCGATCCACGTGGTGGGTCAGCGCTACAGGCATGCCGACGGCCAAGGGAAGCATGCCACAGAGCCCCTCCGTGTCCATGTCATGGTATTGCAGCCATCGGACTTTCGCCTGCTTGTCGCAGGCCTGGGTCTGGAGCGCCTCCGCGCCGGCTCGGTCCTTGGCCACGGACCAGCGCAAAGGGGTCTGGGCGGCCAGCGCGTAGGCTTTGGCGCGATCTTTATTGATTTGGTACTTGGCGTCGTTGTTGGCCACGACCACGGTGGCGTTCAGGAACTTCTCCTCGTGGAGGCGTTGGTCGCAGGGACCGTCCACCAGGACGCGCTGTCGAGATCGCCGCTCCTCTGGGGAGAGGGTGCAGCCTTCCACCCTCTTGCCGTGGAGGTATTTGTGGTTCTTCTCCGAGAGCCTCCCGTCCCTCATTTCGTCCACGACCTGGCCGTGGCCGACAATTGGGGGCGTCCGTGTATAGTATGATATACGGTTGGAAACCCAAACGCGTTGCACGGTGTGAACATGAACTCAACACACGGCGCGCCTCGTTCCACCATTTGTCCTTGCATCTCACGCGCTCGAGCAGCTCGGTGACGCCCTGCACCGCACCGTCCCAGAAGAGGCTCTGGCCGTGCTCGACGAGTGGGTCCCGCGTCTGGCCCGCCGCGGCGGCCTTGCCCGGAGCCCGGAGCCTGAGTGGCAAATCCGCGAGAAAGCCTCCTTCGGGTGGTGGGAGTTGCCAGAAGTCGCCGCTGAAGAGGACGTTGAGCCCCGCGAAGGGTCTGGCCTTGCCGGCGGCGTCGTGCTTCCACCGGCTTGAGCCCGGCACACACCCCTGGGTGCGCAGCTCCACTTGTGCCAGCAGCCGCGAGCTGATCATGCCCACTTCGTCGGCGATGAGCCAACGCCACAAGGCCATGCGCTTGGCCGTGTCCGGCGCGCAGGCCATGTCCAGGGGGTTCCTGTTTCTGCTGAGGCCGCAGGCCCCATGGAGCGTCTCGCCATCGATGTCCGCGGCGTTCGTGGCCTG